GTCTTAGAGCATTTATGCACCAAATTTTATTCAAATGTGATGATCAGTAATTGAGATATCAGTGTTAATTAATTATGTTAATTAAGTGATTAATAAGCATAAATATTTACCAAAAACTAATTAGGTCTCTGCATAGTCCTAGGTTCATTGAAATGTGATGATGAGTACTCTTTAAAAGTTTCCTTAAAAATCCAATTGGTGGTTCTTTATATATTAGTGGAACATTCATGGACAAAATTAACTAATTATGCAAGTTAGGTAATTAATATGCACAATTATTTTCCCTAAAACTAATCAGGTCTCTGCATAGTCCTAGAAGATCAAGAAGCAAGTCTCATTGAAATATAATGATTAGTACTAAAAAGCTGAAAATTAACTAATTATGCTAATAAGTTAATTAATATGCACAAATAATTACCCCCAAAATAATCAGGTCTCTGCACAGTCTTTGAGTAACTATGTACCAAGTTTCATTGAAATGTGAGGATTACTACTTGAAATATCAAAGGCTGAAAACTAATTAATTATGCAAATTAGGTAATTAATATGTACTCATTTTACCCTAAAAACTATCAGGTTTGTGCAGTGTCCTATGACATCTATGTACCAAGTTTTATTAAAATGTGATGATTACTACTTGAAATATCAAAACCTGAAAATTAATTAATTATGCAAATTAGGTAATTAATATGTACTGATATTACCCTAAAAACTATCAGATCTTTGTAGTGTCCTATGACATCTATGTACCAAGTTTTATTAAAATGTGATGATTACTACTTGAGATATCAGTGGAAAAGCCAAAAATTGATTATTCATTATGCAAATCAGGTAATTAATAATAATATTGCAGATTTTTACCCAAAAGTAATAAAATCTGTGCATTAGATCAGAGCATCTATGTGCCAAGTTTTATCAAAATCCAATGAGTGGTTCTTCAGATATCAGTGGAACAGTCATGGAATAGCTAAAAATCAGCTAATTATCATGCAAATTAGGTAATTAATATGCATGGATTTTTACCTAAACCTAATCAAATCTGCGCATTGGCCCAGAGCATCTATGCACCAAATTTCATCAAAAATCAATGTATGGTTCTTGAGATATCAGTGGAACAAACGGACGGACACACATCTACACACACACACACACACATACATACATACATACATACAGACACACTAACTG